TCGGTACAAGGAAAAGAGGCAACGCCTAACTACGAGTAGACTAACACAGTTTCTGGGATATGACATCCCTATCACATCATGAGCAAGCTAAAGTTTCGCACCCGCGAGGGGTCGTCCAAACACTGAAATCCGCCCGGCCGCCCCTGCGCTGCAAGGGAGGCCAAATAATCGGCAACAAAATTTGTTTCGTGATAACCATGCCGCAAAGCCACATGCCATGACCAATGTAGCAACTCTTGAATTCCTCTTATAATCACACGATATATGTTAGCACCAACTCAAGCCCAAGTCACTTCTCCATCAAACCCAACATACAAGCAAAAGTTCATCTTAAAATCAAATGGTAATAGAAGGAATAGTCTGCCAAACTTATATATTAGACTTGGAACCCTTAAGTTTAATTTTGAACGGGATTATAGGTTTGCACACCCTACAATATCCACACACACATGGTATGTTACTACGTGTGTGGATCCCGGCCGCAATAAAACTTGGTCAAATTTTTCAAGAGACCAAACAAGTACTACACTTAATTATTATTAATTTTTCTCAAAATGCACACACAGCCACGTGTACATAGAGATCCATNGAAAAAAAAAAAAAAAACGAAAAATTCCATCTCCAACATAGGAAACCCGCTCAGCCTCATACCTCCGACCTACGCGAACGCGGCCCTAACCGGCACTCCGGCGGCTCCACGTGGCACGCGCGCGGGAGATCCGTGGCCTTCTCGTAAATCTGCTCCTGGCCGGCCCGCTGGCCCTCCTTCTGCTGGAGCTGCCTAACCGCCCGCTTGACGGCTTCGCACCGGCACTCTTCCGCCACCTCCGCCAGCTGCCGGCAGCACTCTCTCAATGACTTCTCCTCCTCCTCCTCCGGCTGTGGATTGATCTCCGATGACTGGGGCCCGCCGCCTCTTCCCTGACAGAGGTACGTCTGGCACCCCTGGAACTGGCGCCCGTGCATCTGGACTTGGCACGGTGGATGCTGCTGACGTGGGTTACTGGCCTCGTACTCGAAGGCGGCGGCGACGACGGCGGCGGCGAGTAGGGCCAGCAGGAGGGTTATCATCTTGATTGTCATGTTTTTGTGTGTGTGTGAGTGTGTGTGTGAGAGAGAGAGAAGATGATGGTGTGTGGATTGTGGAGTGTGACTGACATTTATGGTGGGTGTATAGGTCTTAATTCTTGAGTTGTGGGGGTGTACACGTGGCTGTGAGTGTGTGTGGTGGTGAGCTTACGAGCTTACACGTGGTTTTGCATGCAAATACCGGTACATACCTCTCTATATATTATTCCCGAAGGCGCTGAACATACATGACTGGTGCTTCGAAATCCTACTTAGCAAAGAAATTATGCTTCGTAATTAAATTTGAACAAATACTATTGATATATTAATAATTAATAATCTAGGTTCGGACATTCCATAAATATTAAATAGCTAGCTTAGGTATTTTATTATCACTTGTACTAATATAAACTCTTTAATTTTTTGTAATTTTACATAGTGAGACATTAACTGACTAATATATCCATGATATTTGATTTGTTTCCTTCAATTAGTTATTTAATTGTAAATGTATTTTAAAAGTTGATAATTTTTGTATTTCTTATCGGTTTTACATATATAATATATCAAATTAATCATCATTTGATGATCTTCGATTTGTCATCCATATTGTATATATGAAATAAATAAATTATATTCTTTATAAAAAATAATAATATTTATTAAAATTCATTAGAAAAATAAAACTATTTCTCAACTGATATATTTATGTTTAATGTAGTTACTAGTACAACACCCGTGTATTACACGGGTGCTTGTTAAAAAATTGTTCTTAAATTTTAAAATTAATGAGAAAACTATATTAAATTTAGTTTACTTTTTTACAAAATAAAAATAAAAAATATACTACTATATATTTTAGGATGATATGTGTTACTTATGACTGACATGTATTATATTATATTAGTTTTTATAACTTATATCATATAACTACTTGAAATATAAATATATTAGTTGATAAATAATTTTATTTTTCTAATTAATATTATAAATAATTTTATTATTGTTATAAAGATAAATATAAATAATTTTTTTTATACATACAATATGGATGTTAAATCGAAGCTCATCAAAAGAAGATTAATTTGATATATTACATATGTAAAACTGATAAAAAAATACAAAAGTTATTAACTTTTAAAATATACACACAATTCAATAGTTATAATAAGGAATGATATTAAAATGCAATTAATACATGTAACATGACCATAAGTAATCAACATATTTATGGTAATTTGAACCTAATTATTTTTGGTTTGGAATTAAATTAAAATTTATCCAAGTCTAATAACGAAACATGTAATATTGCCACATAGGATTCCGAAGCACCAGAAGCAGCCATGTAGGCTCAGCGCGTTCTGAATTAATATATAGGCGGGATATGTTGTAAGTTAAAAAATAATTATAATATAACACAAGTAAGTCGCCCAAATAAAAAAATATCATACTAAATATATAGTAATATATATTTTTATAAAAGGTATTTAAATTTTCAATTAATTTTTCTCATTAATTTTAGATTTTAAGAAAAAATTAGCAAGCACCCGTGTAATACACGGCGTTTTACTAGTTGTATTGTAAATAAAAAAAGTTTGGGGAAAATTAGATTTACAATATAATAAATAAAATTCAATCAACTAATTCACTTTTACCGCAATTTCATTATCCTCAATAATAATAATATAATTAAATTAATATATTAATTATTTATTTATACACATCACATCAACTTTAATTCGATACTAGCATTCGACCTTGTGCATTTGCACAGATGTAAATAAAATTAAATATTATAAATTATATTTATGTATATAATATAAAAATTATAAGTTATATAATTGTATTATATTTCAAACATATAGTATTATAAGTTATATTTATGTATATAATATTAAAATTATAAATTATATAATAGTATTATATTTTAAAATTTGATCATTGGTTAAAATAAATAGTACACACGACGAATCACGATTGCATAAAATGTAATAAATATATACTTTTTATAATTTTGAGTGATCATGACCAATTAATTAGCTGAAAAATATTACATTTATTATAACAATTTCTTATGTGATTTTAAGAGATTTTACTATGACATAAAAAGAAATTAATTTATTAATAAAAAAAAAATTCATCATATAAAAAAATATTGATTTTAGTGTAAAATTCAATTTTATGTAACTTTCATATATTATTTAGTATAAAATATAATTACTAATTTTAATATTAACTATTATATTATTCAATAAAAAATATAATTATTAATCAATTAACATAAAATACAATGGTTTTTGTCTTAATTAACCCAAAAAATGTAATGAAATATTTTCTTATTAATGAGATTGGGTGTATTAATGCCACATAAATAAAATTTATTAGGTTCTATTTATTAGGTTTTATTATTGATTTGCCACATATGTAAAATTTATTAGGTTCTATTTATTAGGTAAAATTTATTGCTTATCTAGCAATTATATATACTAGTATTCGACTTGTGCATTTGCACATATATAAATAAATTATTGTGAGTCTGTACATATAATGATTAATTATTTTTCTTTCACTTTTTTGCAGACCAAATTTACAATTAAAAGAGTTGGAATATTTTTTTTTTTAAATTGCGTTTATCTGATTGGATGTATTGTATATTTTGGTACGTCTTTTATTTGTGAATTATTTGTTATTTATTTAGGAATTTCAAATATATTTTTTATTTTAAAAAAAAAAATTAAATGTAACAACAATAATAACATCTAATCACATTATACGGTCAACACATTATATGGTCAACTGTCATTAATCAAAAGTTTAAAATAATTTTTGTAATTTTGAAGTGATGAGTATTAATTATTTAATGATTAAATGAAAGATTAAATACATCAAAATGCAACGGTTTTTTGAGGGATTTTTGTTATATTGCCACATAGGTAAAATTAAATAGGTTTTATTAAATTCTATTAGCTAGTAATTATATATATATATATATATATATATATAGATATAGATTCATCATTCATATAATTTTAACTAGTCACCATTTTCAATCCTATGTTTCCTACTTCTACATTAAATCAACACTAATTACTTTATATTAAGTATTATTTAATAAAAACTCAAAATTAACTCAATCTACTCTTTCAAAAACAACCTTGTTTAAGAAAAAAACCAATTAAAACTCAATATAGAAGCAAGTCATAATTTGATGAATAACGTCCTATACGGATTAAATTTAATTTTTGGATATTATATATTTATATTGGAAAATTTTGAACAATTATCCTCAAGAATCATATTTTCAAAAAAAATGTACAAATTCTTAAAAAATTAGAAATTTTTTTCTCTTATAATCACGTCTTTTTAAAAATGTCCATCAACCAACGAACAAGTTCAGCGGAGTTGGAGTTGTGGCTAAGGTAAAAGATCAAAGAGATGTTTTGAAGAAATGGCAGTCTTTCTTCTCAAACTGTACTGATTTTGTTGAAGCCCTGCTGCAGGGAGTTCACTCAGCTCTTCGGGAAGCTTTTACTTTGGAGTGGGATGAGGTTAAGATTGTAATAGATGATGAAGATACTGTCCTGCGGCTGAAAGCTGTGGATCCGTTTGCTGATACTTGTAAGGCAGTAGCTGAATCCATCTATTTTATGGGTAATTTATTTTTAGATTGTAAGTTCGAATTTGATAGCTCGGATGTTGTTAATGCTTGTGCTAGTTTGGCCTTAGAAGCTGTTGTGTCTAGATGTAGCCGAGAATGGCTTGTCTGATTGGGCTAGGTATTGATTTATGCCTAGTCTTGGTGATGTGATCAGTGGATCACCGGATGTAACTGAACTTTGTTTATCTCTTTTGAGTGTAATATATGATCTATCGTTTGTT